ATATATATATATATATATATATATATATATATATATATATATATATACACACTAAAATAAACTAACTTGTACTACTAGTCCTACTTGGTGGTTTTTCACTTATTGTGGGTCTTCATGGTACGGATCCCCTGCGATGAACGAGGCACTACTGTACATCCAACAGTTCCTGTAACTAGCTTTAAACATTTAGCTCAGACTGGAGCTGTGCATTCTGTGGTCCGACTCTTGAAGTCATCATATGAGAAGAGTACCTTTAACAATATGTCAGCTGCAGAAACATCCACCTCAACAGACTCGTCTTCTGGACTGAGGTGGTCTCTGCCCACCAGTAAACCGGCTTCGATGGCTGCTCCTACAGCAATGAGCTCATCTGGAGGAGCAGAGATCAGAAGCTCAACATCAGGAAACATCTCTTGGATAAGGTGCTGGAGTCGAGGGATCCTGGCTGAGCCACCACAAAGAACCACCTGAAACACAAATGTTACATTCATTCAAACTTTATATACTTGTCCTTGTATACTTGTGTATACCTTTGTATTCTGTAATTACTGGTCTATAGAATGCACTGGACTGTAAGACGCACATACTAAATATAAAGTAACACAATTTTATACATAAAAAAGACGAGCTGGTGTTTAAGCCGTGGGTGTCCACAATATTGTAAACTGTTCAAAGCTTCTGGTGGAGCGTGCAGCTCTTGTAGTACTAGAATGAACCACCAGAGGGCGTTTCATAGACGTTCACCTTTCACACAGACTGCTGATCCTCACAGGACTTCATGATGCTTGGCTCTCCGACTCATGGTTACAGTAATCTACTACGGTAAATTCGTTCAACCTTTCTTCATACAGGTTCATTCATTCAACCTTTATTTAAACAGATAAATTAGTTTGAGCCTCGAAGACTCATTTACAAGTGAGACCTGTTTGGACAAAAACAGTGGTTAACTGGACACATGTAGGAGTTGGAGGTGAAAAAAAATTCCTATCAGACTTTTTTTTCTTGCCTGAGAAAAAACAACAACCTCTAATATTGAAAAAACACCTCGCACAAACAAGCACATATTTACGTAGACATTCTGCAATCCGAGACGAGAGCGGTCAACAATACTTATAGATGCTCTCGAGGTCACTGTAATCAGTCAATGTCCTCTGGTGAGATCCATAAACATTCTCGAGGTATGTCGAGGAATGGCCAAGGATAACCTGTATGAGAATCCAAGAGTCCTGAAATGATGAAACAAGTTTATTCAGCTGGTTTCATCTGGTCATCAGTTGGAAATTCCTCAGGGAGGGGGTGGTGAGCGTCAGATCACATGTTCTCCAGGTGAATTCAGATAAGATGGCCTTCAAGGACAACCAAGGGGAGCCAACTTAGATAAACACACAGTTGCTTTGGGGACAGGCAGAACGTAATGACATCTACCTTGAGTCTGTGTTGGTCAACTCGGTTCTGAAATGTCCAAATAACATGGCCACACCGATGGAACGTGACTGAGTAAAATCCACAAGATCTGATCTATTCAGCCCAAAGCATATGAGTCCGGGTGCTCGAGGTACGAACCAAGCCATCATAAAGGCAAGCAGCGTGACCGGGTCCAAATTTGCTGCCGACGACGTCCTTGATTGTAGATAAAACCAGCAACCAGCCAAATCCAAAAAGCAGGAACCATTTATCGTAAATCCAATTAAATATGCGTCCTTAAAATCCACAGATGGCAGCAGAGATAGACACATCATCAAGTCTTCCAGTCGATGAGATATCCAGCTGCGTACGTGCCAACAGGGTAAATCGGCTCGCCTAAAGCCTGTCTTCTCTTGAAGAAATGTTGTAAATTGAGTTCAGGGACCAACTGGTCAGAACAGTCCATAATTATGGTTCGGAAGATGCAAGAGAGTCTCACAGCAATTTCACAGACAGACAGAGCAGCAAAGCAAAGCGGAGAGGGAGGGAGGGAAGCATCCGATCTCGTCGAGAGCAAGTGGTGAAGGTTAGTCCCTTTGAGCCTCGGAGACTCATTGACAAGAGAGACCTGATCAATTCAGTTTATTTATAAAGAGCCAAGTCCCAGCAGAAGTCGTCTCAGGGTAGAAACATACACATACATGAAAAGTAAGTTAATAATGTTATTTAAAGAGACAGCAAATTTTTAAACAGGAAATCTGATCAATGCACATCCATCTTGGGGGCGTGTTTTCAGGACTCAGTGAGAGTACAGTACCTCATTGGTCAATATGACGTCTGGTCACATGGCAACAGAGTGGGGGATTATGGGCATTTAGTAGCAAAACTGGAATGGTGAGGGAGAGGTATCTGTCATGAGTATCTGTGGCATTAACTGTGTGTCACAAAAACCCACCCCGAAGAGCGATGTGTGTGTTGGGCAGCTATGTATGAGCGCCCAGGTGTGCCAAAGGAAGATGCAATTTGGCGGCAGGAAGCTTGACAGGCTGTCAAAATAAAATATAAAAATTAAATTTGAAATTTAAAAAATGCATAAATTAGCTGCCCTGTGTATAAACTGCGGGGTCTAAAGCATGAGAAAAAAGTAGTGGCATTTACACTGGAAATTACAGTACATATGGGCAAGATGGCCGCGCTCAGCCGAGCTGCAGCTTCACAGGCTCCCAATGAACTCCACCTTTTTTTGTTCCTCTTGTTCTTGTTTTAACCACTTTTTGCACCTACACTGCACGTCCACAGTACGGGTATGACCGCGACACACTGGGAGTTTTCTGGTCGCTGCCTTGCCATAGTGCAGTCCTTCTCAAATAGTGGGGCGCGCCCCCCTGGGGGGCCCGGAGCAATGGCGGGGGGGTCGCATGTGACCCCGAGGAACATTTTGCGGCAGGGAGTTTTTTCTCTCTCTCTTTTTTTGCACCATTCTCATTTTGTCAGGGTGCGTTCGGCAACTCTTTGCTAAAATCCGGCAACTCTCAGTTTTAATAATAATAAAGTTATGAACAAATATGTCTGTCTTGTTTGAGGAGCTGTGATTGAACCGTGTCGCTTCCTCTGCTGCTGAGCAGCCGGTGACGCTCGTCACCCGCAGCACGCGTTGGTTACCTGCCCCACTTTCACGGGTTTTTTTGTTGTTTGATTTTTGGTTTGTCAAAGCACAATTTTGATGTTTTTAAATACAGAAGTAATGTTTAATAAATGTTAGGACTCTATTCTTTGCTAACAAAATATATTTTATATCATTAAACAACTTGTCAGGTTCTTCTCTTGTGAGCGCGTTCCACTGGACCCACACACAACCACCCACCCACCCACACACGCACGCACGCACGCACGCACGCACGCACGCACGCACGCACGCACGCACGCACACACACACACACACACACACACACACACACACACACACACACACACCTCTCTCTTGCGCTGTTTGCAACTTCTCTGCTGCTCTGAAGTCCAGGTCCAGCCAAGACCGGATTAACCATATGGGCAACTGCCCAGGGGCCCATGATCTCTAAGGGGCCCATGATCTGTAAGGGCCCCAGGGCAGTGAGGGCACAAGCAGAACATCTGGTTATCTCCTGCTTTACTTGGAGTCCTGCGCTGCATTTGTGCCGCCCCGCCTCCTCCCAGCGCGGCTGCTGCAGCTCTCGGTTTTTGTTTTTTTCAATGGACGGCTCGACCTGTCAATCAACTCAGAAGGCGTGTCAGTAACTGACCAATCAACGACCTCAATTTGTCCTGAAGGTAAACGCCCCTTACCTGCTGACAAGCTCAGTTTTTTTCTTGAGAAACTTCTTGTTTTAATTAAAACAATAAGTTTGTATCTGTTGTGAGATGATTTTAGCAGTTTTGTAGATTTTTAATCTACTTAATGAAGAATATTATGACCTAAAACCGTTCATCAAACAGGAAGGAGGGATTATTATCTCCTCTTACTACAGTGAATGTGGTACTTTGTTATAAGTACGACTTTATTTATGGCATCAGAGGAAGCGGAGCTTCAGTTATCAACATAAAGTAAAATGTCTTCAGCATGAAAAGAAGGAATGTTAATTTTGAGATGAATCCAGTTTCTGATTTCTGACCAAACACTTTGTAGTGACATGAAAAAATAAAATTGCTCGAGGGATTCATCTTGTGATTTAAAGAAGACACAAATCAACCTCAAATTTAAATCTTCTTTGCAGAAACATGGCTACAGGATACATCTTATTTACTATTTTAAATGATTCTCCTTCACTTTAGAAGATTTAGACCATTTGACAAATTTAGAATGAGCAGAAATCATACTGGTTTTATGATTTATACTGGGAGGTTTCTTGAATGAATCTTTGTTATAATCAGTAAATCCTTTGTCTCAAACATTCATTGATCATCTTGTTACATTTGAAGTCAACTCAGTTACAGATATTTAATTTTAATGTGGGCATCAAATCATCACTTTTGAATATATAATATTTTTAATCATTGAATCAGCTGTTGGTCAGGTTACTTCTTGTTGTTCCATTAGCTCTAAAATAGTTACTGAATCAAGTGTTTACTTCCATCCATCTGGGGGGGGGGGGGGGGGGGGGGGGGGGGGGGGGGTACAGCCTAAGTAGGGAGGTCCAGACGTCCCTCTCCCCAGACACTTGGACCAGTTCCTCCAGTGGAATCCCAAGGACTTCCAAGTGTTTACTGGTGCAGGTAAAACTAGATGTTAAACAACCATTAAAATTCACCAGGATGCAGCAAATGGCATCTACTTTATTCAACATTTTCTGGGGGAGGACCCCCAGACCCCCCATCAGTGTGATCTATATTTCTCTTTTTTTAATTTAATGTTAATAAGGATACAATGTTATGTACAGGTGTACTTATAACAATTTTATAGACAAATTATACTATTTACAGTCGCAGCGGAGAGTTGGGGGGCGCAAAATGTTTACTTCGTGCTGGGGGGGGGGGGGGGGGGGGGGGTAACAGAAAATAATTGAGAAGCACTGCCGTGGTGGTTCAGTCCTTCCAGCCTCGGGCCCAGGCCCGTCATGGCGGCTGTCTCCATGATCCTCCATGTGCCTGCACGGACCAAACTCTACAGACCCGTTGGGTTCTGCAGGAAAACCTTAGAGGTTCTGGGTCTGCCAGACCTGGTTCTGGAGGGCAGCTGCTGCGGTCATTAGAACCATCGAGCTGCGTATTGTTTTTGTAGAAGTAGTGCTTAGCGTATTCTTGGTTTAGTGCATTTCTGAGTTCATATCTTAGATCTTATTTACAGTTTCTTTTTACACTTTATATTTTTCCTATTGTTTGATGTTTCCATATTTTAATGTATCGTGTATTTTAGAATAGTTTTAAGTGAATGTTTTTAATTGATTTAGCAAGGCTTGGTTTGAAAGTTGTTTTTTTTTATACAACATTTTTATCTTGTGTTGTTTTTATGAGCCAGATGTCAAAGACAAATCTCCATTTCATTGAAAGTTATGGACAATAAAGTTGAATTCATTCATTGATTGATGTA